TCGTTTTGCGCACACTTGCTGTTGCGCCCACTTTGTCGATGCGCACACTTTGCCGATGCGCACACGTTGCTGCGCGCACTTTGATGCCGCGCGTACTTGGACGCTGCGCACACTTGCTGTTGCGCACGCTTACTGCTGCGCGCACTTGGATGCCGCGCGCACTTGCTGTTGCGCACACTTACTGCTGCGCGCACTTGGATGTCGCGCGCACTTTGACGCTGCGCACACTTCTGCCACGTGCGCTTCTCTGCTGCGCGAACTTTGTTGCTGCGCACACTTCGCTCCCACGCGCGCTTCCCTGTTTAACGGGCTTAGCGGTGCCCTCGATTGCCTCTACAGCTTGATGGCTGTACCCGGAGCAATGCGCAATATTGTAACTGTATCTTGGGTAACGGACCTAACGGTCTGCGAATGGCGTGGTACAGTTTCGCTATATACGCGTCGAAAAGGGAGATTTTTATGGCTGAAATCGCCCCACAGTCACACACAGTCGAATTCCGTATAAACCCGTCACACACGCACGTTGTCTGCAGGCTTTTACTATAACACCGGTTTTTATTTAAAGTACAATCTTAGAACGCACTATGTATGTACTCGTTGGTTTGGCCGAGTTGAGATTTTTCACGCAACCGAACATAACCGTTTGTTAGCGTTACTCCGCGAATAGCGGTTTGTGTGGCGTGGCTAGCTCAAATCGCCGTTACTTTTTCCAGCTATAATTTAAGCGAAATGTTTTCTTGCATAGGTTTTTTCGTTTATAAATTTTGATTTAATGATCGTAGGTATCAACTTGTGGTTTGAAACTATTAAGTTTTAATTTTCGGCACCGGCTAGCCTATCGCACACGCACACACAAGAAACATACATACACACGTATGCACACGCACAAAAATTTTCGCAAAACAGTTCTTCCACATTCACGGAGTGGATTTTATGCCACTTCACGACACCACTTTGTAGTAAAACAGCTTTATTTCTATTAATTTAACAGTCTTTAGCGTTTATTTTACACACACATTTCACAACATTAAAATATAAGGGCGAACTACGCTTAAGGCGGTTGGTTTAACAATGAATTTCTGTCCTGTCGTTCATCTTGTCGAAGTCTAGTTTGGGGTGCGGTCCGATCGTTCATTTCGTAGTCTGGTGTGCATGGTTGCATTCGTCCACAATGGTATGCCTGTCAGGTCCGTTCCTTTAGTCCGTCGTTCAAATCCCACACATATACCTGGCAACGTCCGTACTGTGCGGTCACTTAAACATTCGCTTGAAAAAATTTCCAAAGTGTATCTCTTTTACAAAGTGCTAAGCAATTATAATTTGTGTTATTCACACCGAAAAAAAGTTTATTGAGGCCGAATTCCAATAAATTGACATGATTTAGTCATAAAGTGCGTTGATTGAAAAGTGTTATTTTGTCGGCCTTCGTGCATATTTGCATATTTTGGTGCATTATTGTTGCTTTTGCGTGAGAGTGTAAGGAATATCGCATTTGTTTGTTCATTTTGCTTTCTTTCGCGCTTTACACACACCTTTGTTTATCATCGACAGTCGCTTTCTTGGTGACAGCTGATTTTGCTAACTCAGTGGCTTTAAAACTGTTAAGTTCAGCACGGTTTCTAACCATTGAACTTCACTAAGTAAGCCCACTAGCTATTAAACTGCCAATTACTGTGAGCTTGAAACGTTTTCGTACAATACATTTATAATTTCGCTATTTTTATTCTTTTTTAATAAAATTCGCTGAAAATGTCTTGTCTGTTCGAAAAATGTAATGTAAAAGCCGGTTCGGACCGTTTTGTGGCGTGCTACCTTTGCGATGAACTGTCTTATTTAAAGTGTGCTGGATTAATGGGAGAGTTCTGGATATGATTATTGGAGACAATGGACTTCGCTGGTCATGTCCAAAGTGTAAAAAAAACTGTTGTGGATCTCTGTAAACTATTTAGAACCGCTAGAAATGGATTTTCGGAGATAGGCAGCTAAAACTTCTCAACGAGAAGTTCAAGAAGTATGATCAGATCAACTCTATTAGTAATAACTTAGGTAAATGTCTGGATTTAGTTTTTGTGGACTACGTTTCCAACGTCACAATAGCCCCTAGTTATGCTTTGATTACACCTGTCGATTCTCACGACCCACCACTAGAATAGTCCTTGATAAATTCACGCTATTCATGTTGCTTTACCCGTAAAAAATCAAGAGCGGAGCGATAGTCATTTAAAACAGCAGATTATAGTAAACTTAGGTTAGAGATATCGAAGATAACTTGGCCCCAGTATGATGGGAATGCTGACAATAGTGTCTTACATTTTAGCAATTCCTTACGCAATATTTTCAGTAAAATCATTCCTCTTATTAAGGAAGCTAACGTAACGTCTAGCGCTCAGTGGTTTACGAGCGAATTAAAACGCTTAAAAAATCAAAAATCCAAAGCATTTAAGCTTTTCAAAAAATCTGGCTTGTCTTCTTACTACTCTGCGTACTCCATTCTTGGGCATAAATACAATGTATTGAACAAAAAGTGTTACAATAATTATATTAACAGGGTTCGACTCAATATAGTCTCTAATCCCAAATCGTTTCACGCCTTTGTGAACACAAAGCGTAACACTAACGGTTATCCCTCAACATTGAAGTTAAATGACTTAGTCTCCAGTGACGAAAATATTATTGCCGATATGTTTGCTGGTTTCTTCAAGTCAAACTACTCTGCCAGCTCTACATCTTCCCAACTAAATTCGAATCTATCTAGCTACCCCTTCTTTCTGCCATCATTTGATTGCATCCGAATTCCATCGATATCTGCTGCGGACGTCCTCATTCATTTGAATTGTTTGAAAATTTCATATACAGCTGGCCCAGACGGTATACCCACAAGTGTTCTTAAAAGTTGCGCAGAGTGTTTGTATAAGCCTCTGACAAATATTTTTAATGCTTCCCTAAAACAGGGTGTCTTCCCATCTTCCTGGAAGGATTCGTTTATCTTGCCACTTTATAAAAATGGAAGTAGGACTAACATCGTAAACTATAGAGGAATAGCGAAGCTTTGTGCTATTCCTAAAGTTTTTGAGGCAATCGTTACGGAAGAACTATCTCACTCTGTTACTTCTGCTATTGATCTATCGCAACACGGTTTTTTCAACTGTATCCAATCTTCTTGAATTCACTACTTATGTGTCTAATGGGTTTAAAAACAATCTTCGAACGGACGTGATTTACACTGATTTCAGCAAGGCATTTGATAAAGTATCTCATTCAACCCTTATATATAAACTTGATCCAATTGGTTTCCCTCCTATTCTTCTCACCTGGCTTTCTTCTTACTTAATGGATAGGAAACAAAGAGTAATTTTTAAAAATTGTACCTCCCGGCCAATACATGTCACGTCCGGCGTACCTCAGGGCAGCCATCTTGGTCCCGTCTTGTTTATTTTATTTATAAATGACCTTCCTAAGGTGTTGAATTACTCGAAATGCTTAATGTACGCTGATGATGTTAAGTTCTTTAAGTACATTAGTACTGCAGAAGATAGGGAGCATTTGCAAGCTGACCTAACCAGCATTTTCGAGTGGTGTGAAGCAAATTCCATGTCACTCAATTTGAAAAAGTGTAAATCCATGATCTTCTCTAGAAAATCGTTCTACCCAAATTCGTATATGATATCTGACCACAATGTTGAGCAAGTGACCAATTTCATTGACCTAGGTGTAACTATGGATCCGAAACTAGAATTCAAGTCTCACATAAACTCCTGCGTGATTAGGGCTAGAGGATTGTTGGCTTTTCTTAAGCGCTGGGCCAAGGAGTTCAACGATCCTTATGTCACTAAAGTTCTCTTTACCTCTCTAGTTAGACCGATTTTGGAGTATGCATCTATAGTATGGAATCCTAGTTATCAAATTCATAGTGACAGGCTCGAATCAGTGCAGAAACAGTTCCTGTTATTTTCCCTCAAAAATTTATGTTGGGACTCGTCTAAAAATCTCCCACCCTACAAGGATCGCCTGAAGCTTATAGATTTGCCGACGCTTCAGAGTCGTAGAGAGATGCTTGGTGCTCTTTTTTTAATTAAATTAATGAACGGGATGGTCAGTAGTCCCTTTTAACTGAGTGAAATAAATTTTTGTATTCCTAAAAGACCCACGAGACATTTTAAACCTATTGTGTTGAGTTTTTGTAAATCAAACTTTGAAATGCATGATGCTTTTCGGCGTTTATGCCAAGATTGTAACAGACATTATGATTGCTTCGACACATCTGAACCGCTTTTTGTAATAAAGAAAACTTTGCTCAACAAGTTAACTAAATAAGCTAATATCTGTAACCGTGAACGAAAAATTACACAATATCTATACTGCTTAGTACAATTGTAACGGCTTCGTATATTTTCGCGACCGCGTAGGACAATACGAGCAGGGGTCGGAAACTCGGCCTTTCCGACCCCGCCCAACAGTTCGTCTATACCGCGGAGCGGAAACTAGGACTTTCCGCCTGCCTCACATACAAAGTAATGACTACGGGAACATGGATCGGAAGCTCGGCCTTTCCGAACATGATCCACGGCCTGTAAACAGCGCGGAGCGGAAACTAGGTCTTTCCGCCCGCCGCACACAAAAGCAGACTGGAGACTAGGCCTCGCCAGCTACCCAAATTGCTATTGTATATCAATATTATCTTTACAAGTTAATATGTATAATTAGTTCACTATGTAATATATCATACATACTTAAATATCTAAATCTTTTTATCTCAATTGTCTGTATGAAAACATTTTTCTGTAGACTAAATAAATAAATAAATGTAAGCAGCCGCGATATCCTCCGTGTCCTCCTTCTGGTTGATTGTTTTTTTCCCTTTTCTGTAGTATACGTAAACTCTCTATTGGGTATCTTACCCGTTCCCTCTTCTCTTTGTCCAATATTCTGACGTTAGCTAGATCAGCTGTATGACCACTGGTAAGTACGTGTTGTGCTAGTGCTGTGCTGTTTTTCTTTTCCTTTATGTCGGCTTCGTGCTCTGAAAGGCGAACGCCTAGTGCACGTTTTGTTGTCCCTATGTAAACTTTGTTGCAGTCTTCGTTTTCTTTGCCTATACATGGGATTTCATAGACCTCGTTGTTTTGTTGGTGGAGCTTGATCGGTGTGAAGATCGAAGATAGTGTGCTGTTGGTTCGGTATGCCAATTTAATATTACGGTTGTTGGTGGTTATTTCGTGGTCAAGTTGTTGATGGAACTTTGGAATGTAGGTCACACTATGATATCGCTTTGTTCCGTCTGTTGTTTTCGTGGTTGGCATTTTGTTTTGATCTTTATTTATCTCTGTTACTTTCTGTACGATTAGGCTTTGTACTAGGTGGTGTGGGTAGTTGTTACTTGCGAGAATTTTCTTTATTTTACCTATATTCGTCTCCATAAATTGTTGGTGGCTAGTGGTGGTAGATCGACCAGCCTAGAACAATAACAACATATAACAAAAAAACTCGATCAAAAGCTTACAAAGATATCACAAATATATTTAAAGAGCTTTATGAAGTAAGATTTAAAAAACAAATTTTTATCTATGAACCATTGTTAATTTTTTTGAGTGTGGGTGTTAGTTAATATCTTTTCGAAGGTAATCAGAAAATATGTAAGGTACCGACTTTCTCTTGGAAATTTGATTTTTAATCTTATAACTGGAGTCTACTATCGCACCCTTTCCTCAAATGTGTATTAATTCAATATTCAAATACCGTTTATTTATCTAATTTGAAAAAATTTGCCTACGATACAAATATGTACTGCAGTATTAACTAATATTGTGAGAGGGAGTAACCATGATAAAAACATAACAAGGTAAAACCATTGAGAGGTAGTCTGACGTTTGCCAGCAAAATAATTTAGAAATTCAAAACTCAAACTCACACACACATTCTCATTTTCAATCTCAAACAACAACAATTGTGAACAATTTAGTTTTTTTTATTTTCAACTAGATTGCCCTCACCCGCTTCGCTGAGTGTATGAGATTTTTACTTGCTACATGGAGTAAAATTTATTTCAAGAAAACTCAATTCAAAAACAGGAGGTTAAAAAGTTGTTTAACCATCTTCAAAATATTTTCAAACTAAAACTTTCTTAAACTTCTCACTTGTCATACTTTTTCAATTAACTTATCCCCTGAACTCAATTTGAGATTTTAGACGGATGAAAACCCCTTACATGTAGTTTTGAAATGAAGCCCTTTCAAAACCATTTCGACTGATACTCATATTGAAATAAATCATTTAAATTATTGAATAGTTTGAATTTAACCTTTTAAATAGTTGGCAACCTTTTAAAACCCCTTTCGTCTGACACTCATATTGTGATACATATTCAAAACCATATCGATTCATACCAATCTATACTAATATATATTTTTAAAGCGGTTATTTTTTGAGTTCGCAAAGCTCGAGAACAGCCGAACCGATTTTTTTTTTTTGAAATTTCGGGCACATACTTCAGACGTCCCAAGGATTATTCTAGGCTAAAAAAATGTTTGATATATAAAGGGGGCGTGGCACTTCCCATACAAACCGAATATTTCATACCGAATATCTCTGGAAATGTTCATGGTAGAGTACTCGAACTTCGTGTGAAGATATATGAAATTAATCTTATACTCATGGAGAAAAATGGCGTGGCGCCGTACAAACGTATATATAATTCATCTGTAGGTATGTTTGTGAGTGAAATCCTCCTAAATGCTCGCACGGATTTTTGTGTGTTTTTGAGTAACTCTCTGGATAGTGTAGTTTCACAAATTCACCCGCCAATACGAATAATCGCCAAGTTAGAAGAGGTGCCGTGAATTTCCGATTAAATCGACTTGTTACACCATTGAGTGTTTCGAACTCTTGTGTGCTACGATTGGCCCAATGGATGTGATTTTTGCCAGTATTGTTATGCGTTAAAGCTTCATTCGTAGACACCAGCGTTGAGTTGTGCAGGGGTAAATGTCAAATTATCACCGATAAATCAACCGTCAGATCCACAGTGCGCCTTTTACTGTAATAAATTCAAATAAAAAATAAGTTTTTACTTAAACTGCTTTCGTGAAACTTACTTTTAAGGTATTTCTGAAATAAGTCTGTGTATATTGGATTTCTGTAGAACAATTATACGAATCCATTTTAAATTGCCACCAACTATACTCTAAAGTTTCTGGGACAGATTCACTATAGAATCGGATTATTGTTGCCGCCAGGGAGTGAAGAGGAAATGTTCTTCACATTTATTTCGTTGCGAGATTAACCGTTTTATGAAATGCTGCACAATTAGAGAATTTCATGAACTTATTCACGACATTAACGCTTTTGTTAGGTTATTTAAGCGGCAAACGACCACTAAACCATAATCTTAGCCGATGAGCGTGCCAATGGAAATCGTAAACGTGAATTGTTGGTGAAAATGTTGGACCAAAAAGTTCCAATAAAAAAATAATAACTTTGGGCGGGACGAAGTTCGCCGAATCTGCTAGTATTATAATTAGGGACCGTACAGTTACAACTCCTATTACAAAATCACTCTTTAACAATTATTTTTTGACTTTTATTTAAATACTCTTTAAATAACCGTTATTTCGGACTTTTATTTTATAAATCGAAAATACCAATTATTTTTGATTTTTATTTAAATAATCTGCAAATAACAGTTATTTTTGATTTTTAAATTTTATGTCTTAAATAACAGTTATCGAAGACTTTTATTTATAAAAGTCATAAATAAAAATCTGTCACTGATCTTTATTTTTTCAATCATACTTATAAAAGTCATTTGAATAAGTCGTAGTAAACTTTTGTTTTCCAACACCTTAACTGCGAAAATGACTTAATGACTTTTATATGATTGATTTAAAAAATAAACGTCGGTCACTGATTTATATTAATGACTTTTAAAAGTAAAAGTCACTGACTGATTTTTATTGATGACTTTTATAAATAAAACTCTTCAATAACTGTTATCTAAGCCATATAATATAAAAATCAAAAATAATTGTTATTTTGGATTTATGATATAAAAATCAAATATAATTGTTATTTTTTTAAATTTTGCATAAAAATATGCAATTTAAAAAATGCAAATTTATTTTGAAATTTGAGTCTCGGTGCAAAACGAAATCGATTGGTATGTTTCACTTAGTTGTTTAGCTGGTTTCCTTCATAGTGAACTTTTCCATGACAGTTTTCATCAATAACTGTTATGTTCGGTCCCTGATTATAATATTTCCTTTAAACTAATTTTATTGAATTTTTAAAAAGGTGGCAACCCTTGTGAAAAACTTCGATATCATTCAAAACTTTAAAACTAAAGGTTTCGTAACAATATTTCGTTTGACAGCCTTATTTTAACTCTTCAGAGAGCTTGCGTATAATTAATTTAAATTAGACTTTGTAAACAGGTGGCAACCCTTTAAACGATATATTCAAACGACAGAGTTTTTAAGCCTCTTGGCATCCATATTTTAATATAATTTTCAAATAAAAACTCCCTTAATTGAAGTTGAATTTTATTTTTTAAAAGGTGGCAGCCCTCATCGATGAGTGAATAATGATTATATATATCTCCAAACCAAGTTCCAGTAATCTACCAAAAATATTTCCTGAGAAATGCAGTATGACACATTCCGTTTGTATGGGAGGTGCCACGCCCCCTTGTCTAATCGAAATTAAATGTATCCTATATTTTAAGTTGGGCTAAATGACAGGAGTGTACAAAATTTCATGATGATCGGTTGAGTAGTTAAAGCGTGAAACAAACAAACTCACTTTCGGATTTATAATATTAGTAAGGATTTTATATGATTTTAAAATGTTGGCAAACGTCAGAAAAAAATCATGGCCGATGAATTGAGAGAATGAATTCACATTGTAATGTTTTTATCATGGAGGTGGATTTGCAATTTTTTGCTGCTGTGGATTTGATTTTCGTTTGACTTGTATGTACCTATCAATATCCGTTTGAGTCAATGTACGGGTTGTTGGATTAAGTAGGTCAACTTGCTCTACGCTGCGTTGCTTGGCTTGGGCTCCCAGCAAATTTTTGGCAAGCGCTTCTTCTATCATCAATTCTATAACTAATTGACCGCCCATCAAAAAATATTTTCCGATTATCTTATACATTACCAGTCATCGAACAACTTACTTTTGCGTTACATTACAAAAGTGCTTCTGAGTAGGGCACCAAAGAAGCGCGTAATTTGAAAATTCGTCTACTTTTCGCTTTACTCCTTAAAGAGTACAGTTATTTTTTCTATCTGCTTTACACACTTTCGCTTTGTTTTATAAATTTCTGGAAATGTTTATTGACGCGAAGCCAGGCTAAAGTTGAAAATTGTGAATTTAAGTGATTTGATTAATACTAAAAGGTGAAAACTGTTTGCAAAATAAGCAGCATGTATAGTAAAAGGCATTTGAAACGCCTTGTCAGCAAAGAGATAGCTATTTTATATGAAAAACCCCAGGCTAGAAAAAAGCCGAATGAATTTCCAAGAAATGAAATTGAGTGCATTGTCAACGAAGAAGTAGAAGGCGTTCAAGAAAATAAAAACGATAATTTAACAAAAAAACTAAGGCAGTGGTTTTTGGAGTGTAGTCCAACGGTTGCAACGTGCAATTGCTTGTTAAATATTTTGCAATCCGAAAACATTGCAGTGCCGAAGTCGGTTTCGGGATTAGTGCAGTCAAGGATGCCCGCTGTGATTGGAACAGTTACTCCTGGACAATATGTTCATATTGGACTTCGTCATCAGCTTTAAAAGTTTTTAACTACTCTATTAAAGGAGAACATCAATGAGGTGTTTTTAGATATTGGTGTAGATGGACTACCCCTTTATAAAAGCTCAGCAGTAGGGTTATGGCCAATTTTAGGTCACTTATCAAATTTACCATACAGTGAACCCTTCCTTATAGCTTTCTCCAGGACTTTATTATTGAATTAAAAAGTATTTTAGAAAACGGAGGCGTACGGTTTGGAAGTGAATTCGTACAATTATCTATCCGAGCTTTTATTTGTGATGCTCCAGCGCGGTCATTTCTTTGCGGCGTTAAAGGGCATAACGCCCTAAATGGTTGCACAAAATGTATTCAAACTGGTCGAAACATTAGGGGTGTAACTACATTTCAAGTTGAGGTTGCAAGATTACGTACTGACACGGATTTCTATAACCGAAACGATAGATTCTTCCACAATCCATTATATGCTGATCGCAGATCGAACTTGGAAGAGTTAGGAATTGAGATGATTAGCCAGTTCCCCTTAGATGCTATGCATTTAATAGACATGGGAGTAAAGAGAAAAATTATTTCATTCCTTTTAACATCAAAAACAAATCAAAAGTTACGAATGGATGAAAAAAAGCGATGTCTTCTATACTGACATCCTTCATACCTAATGTGACCAACTATTTCATAGTTCAAAGAAGTACAGGTTAGGGGGGGACGGGTTAAGTTAACGCCGCGAGCCGATCATGAAATATCGAATGCGCCTAATTACGATCCCTGAGTGTAGCTAAGTGTTTGCTAAGAAGTGCGAGCAAAATGCTTCCATCTTACCCTCGCGAAGGTTGGACAGTCTAAAAGAAAGTGTGGAGGTGATTCCACTTCATCTTCCTCTTGACATCTCATACAAAAAGATCAGTTGAAATTCCTAGTCTCACCGCATGAATACCAATCGCACAACGGCCTGTCAGAACCCCCATCACTAGCCTTCAGAGGTAACGTGTTTTAAAGTTCCCTATAAAAACATTTTCTGCAGCAGAGAAAGGTCTTCTTTTTCTTTTTTAAGTCACAAAATCGTGTGTTTGCTATCCCCAGGCACCGTGCTCAACATATGTATGTTAAGCGCCAGTGTAGGTGGATTCTTAATGCTCCGCTAATTCCTGCTTTACAAGTGTAGCCTTCTCTAGTGAGTATCACCAGCGAAGGGCTCCTTGAAACAATATAGGCTTATATATGGTTTCCTAGAACTAAGGAATTAATTTGGGCGAGAGAACCCACCTTTCACCGATAGTTCCCCTACAGCAGTATAAGGCAACCGACACCTTTCCTACCCTTTCCTCAATCTTAGGCTTCTACGACAGCCGCCGTTAATCGCCCACCTAGTTACCTGGTTCAGGTAACCTTGAGCCAGATCAAAAAGGGCATATAGAAATCGTTCCTTAAGCAAAAGCTCCACATCATCTACACAGGCGATCACCCGACGGCCCACTTTTTCCAGTTTCTCTAGAAGGTCGTTTACAACCGCAGTCCAGAGCAGGAGAGAGAGAACACCACCTTGTGGAATGCTCCTGTTGACTCTGCACTGAGTGCAGATGCTCCCCCACTCCGCCCCGACGGTTCTGTCAGGAAGTAAGCTTATAACGTTAGTTTCAACCCCCAATTGTTTTGAAATGGATGTACGCCTTAAAGAACTCGTATACGTTATACAATCACTTGAACCCTCAGTTTCAGATCTCATTTGTAGGTAACTGATAACGTGTTTTAAAATATTTAAGATTATATATTTTGCTTAGCTGCACATCCTTCTTTGCACGAAAAACTTGTGCACGTAACCGAAAAAGGCACTTAAGCGAATTTTCTTTACTACTTCAATGAGGAAGGTATCCGAATCCCTATGAAACCAAATATTGGCGGAGCACTTACCATGTAGAAATTACTGCAAGCGAAATTTTTACCGAATGTTATCTAATTATCTATATAACTACATAAATTGATAGCCATTTTCGTTGTTCTGCGAGATGAGCAAAATAAATAAAAGGTTACAAAATTAGGTAATTGTAGGGTCAGTGCAGGTAAACGTAATACTTTCATTGATAATTGATACTAGTCGCACAATTTTTAAGGATGGTATCGCCAATGTGCAGGTATGTTGAGTGCATCTATCGGAGCAGTTTCCTTATAAATGTTAAAAATAATGCTTTTGATGCGCATTTTGGGGTAGGTATCTTAAATGTGCACTTAAGCATAGAGGTAGCAAAGCAAAACATACTGTATAGAGTATAATGTGGA